CTGGACGCCGTCCTGTGCCACTGCTGGAGGTGCCCCTGCTCTGGTGGGGGGTGGGATGGGGGAGCTCCAGAGGGCCCTTCCAGCCCTCACCAGTCTGCGATTCTGTCTCCCTCCTCCATCAGCTTCAGCATCTCCTCTGGCCAGGACTGCCAGCGTATTTGCAGAGCACTGACCTATTTTCCAAACCCCAGAAGAATCCAGCCTACCTGCCCGCCTCCTGCCCGTGCTCGCCCGGCGCCGCAGGGCTTTTCTCAAAGAGCTGGTATCTGCAAGCGGTTTTAGCCCAGAAAGGGCCAACTCCTCTCATTCTTCTCCCACATTCAGTGGGACGACACGTTTGTGAACTGCTCTCTGACCAGAAACGCAGCACCCAAAACTTACACTTAGGACTGGCTTTAATTTCAGCTTAGTAAAAGAGAATTTGGAAGGTACTTAACCTTCCGTTGAGAAATACTTCTGCTGAGGAAATAACACGCCCAGATTTCCTCCCACCTTCTCTTCCCTACCAGTAGGAGTTTAGCCGGGATACCGTGGTTCAAAAGCCGACGGGAACGCTACCTGAGAACTGACCCAGTGCCTCCTAACAGCTTGGCTTTGCTACAGGTCACACAGCTGCCCGGAATCACCGAAGTGATAAATGTGCACACTGAGGCTGTAAAGCATCTGCTCCTAATTGCCAGCTTTCAGCATCAGAAGTTCGGGCAGTGAAACTGGTATAATTCCGACTGAAAGCTTCTCAGGGAGGCAGCGAGGAGCGAACGGAGTCAGGCAACTCCCACCAAATGAAAGGCGAAGTGCCACTCCTGAACGCTCGTGCGTCACTCAGGGGAACACGGTGTATCAGATCTGCAAGCTCTGCCTTAAAAGAAGAAAAAAAAAAAAAAAAAAAAAAAGCTTTGCCGGATTAATTCCGGGGAAATTCAAAGGGCAAATAAATACCAGATCCCACAGCAACGTCTAAGCAGTTGGAAGATCCAGCTCAGGGGATTTCTCGGTAGCAGATGAGCTGCCTGTGGCCTCCTCCAGCCGTCCTCGCCTTGCTGGAGGCGGTTGGTTTTGAGGGCAGTCGTGTCTCCCCCCGCAACAAAACCAGGCTGTGGAGCCCCAGCCTGTACCCACCGCCACTGGTTTCCCCCTAGAGGTTTAGTGGAACTTGAAAAAACTGGAAAAGCAGAGTTTGAGATTCGTGGTTTCGAGCGACTCATAACCCACAGCTTGCCACAGTCTGTCTGAGACTTTAAAGTTGTTCCTCACAAATATTGTTTCGGGAACTGAAAACATACACCTTACCGAATCTGGCTACATCCCACACAGTTCAAATCCCTTTTCACCATCTCCTTCGCCACCAGGCTTCCTCCGTACGCTGAGGTTGCAACACTCGGATCCTTGTGTTTACAGAGCCAACTATTTCTCATGCTTCAACACCACCTCGCAAACACAAGCTTACAAAAACAGACAGTTTTGGTTTGTTTCCCTTCTTTTTTCACCCTTAAAATGATGGCTCCGGTATAAAAAAAAAAAAGAAAAAGGAAAGAAAAAAGCCTACGGTATAACTTGTGTTTGCCTTAGTGACCCTTCAAGCCTTCCCAGGACATCTCGTGCCAGGCTGGTGTTGCTTCGATACCTGCGTGCGCACGGATCTGGAGTTCCAGTCGGATCAGAAAAAGCTGACAGCTCTTCAGCGCCGTCCCATCTCACGCTCGGACTGCTCTGAGAAACGCCGACTGCAGGAGAGGGATGTTCTGAAGCGGACGGCTTTCAGTTGGTAAAGATAGAGTTCCCCTCCTCCATACGCTCACACAAACACAGGAACGGTTCTTGCCCTAACAATTCGGTCGTGTTTCCTTTTAGCGCTGGAAAGAATGCTTTCAAGGCCAAAAACGGCTCTGAAAGATTCATACAAAGCATTTATTATGAAGGGCTGTCCGCAGCCGGAGCTACGGGAAGGAGGGGCTGTCACCATCGCGCCCGAAGGCAGAGCAGCAAACAAAAGCCGACCTTTGCCGGGGAGAGGAGACGAGAGGGCAGAAAGATGCCGGTTTGGTACCCGGAGGGTCGATGTTTGCAGCCCCCAACCACCAAAGCTTTCAAGCAATATTATCACAAGCGCCTGTGCCGGTCTGAAAACACAAACAGTATTCTTCCCCCGGAGGTTGACAGCTCATACAGAATTAATCACCTATAGCTAAAATCTTCCCACAGCAGGAAAAAAACAAAACAGACGAAACCTACATTTAAGACATGCGTATCTTTTGCAGATGTCTGCCTCCTCTCTCCCCTCGTGTTTAGCTGGATTGGGGCAGAAAACAAGGAAACGGAGCAGGATCTCCAGGAGAAAAGAGTGTTGTGTATTCCTTTTATCCATCTGAATGCTCATTTGGGCCAGCTGAGACAGACCCACCGTCTGCAGCACAGACCTACAGGTGAAAAAAAGCTCGCTGCACAAACGGGAGCTGCGATCCCAAGGAGGATTCGAGAGGAATCATAAGAGAGCATCAGGACAATGCCTCGCAAGCCGGGGCTCGAAAGCAAAGGGGAGGAAAAACCCACAGAGAAATAATCTAGTTTTTATCCAGCACCAACAATCTAGGTTTTATCCAGCATCATGTCAGGGAAATTCAGGCCAAAACCGCCACTTGGGAACAAGACAAGATACGCCAGAATAGAGAACGGTTAATCAGTAACTATGCTAATTGCCTGCGAGACTGCAGATAATTACCTACAGTATCTGCAGACTGGTGCCTGCATGGACGTCGGAAAAAGTAGCCAAAGCAGCAACTAAAATATTTTAAAGCGTCATCCGCTTGCCGATATTTCCAAGTATCAGACAGAGGTGACTGGAGACGTGCGAGGCAGCAATACGCTTTGGCATCCACACTGCTGCACCGCCACACAGGTTTTTGTTCTTCACACCCACAATTGTGTACACAGGTCTGAAACGCTCAAACGGCTCGAGACGGGAGCGATGAGCTACAGAGCCATTTGCTCACATCAGAGGCAAAGCAAAAGGGGAAGTTGCAACAGAGCAAGTAAAAATACGGATGTCTGAAATATTGCACCAATAGTAGGGTGGTTGCCCGAGGGATATTAGGAGCCCCTCTGCTGGGAGGACAGGCTGGGAGAGTTGGGGGGGTTCAGCCTGGAGAAGAGAAGGCCAAAAAGGGGTTTCCCACCCAAACTATTCTGTGATTCTATGAAATGCTTCCAAATTGCATTTCTCATCCAATTGAAAGTGCAGCGCCGCAACTGTGAAGATTGCAAAAGATGAGAGAGTTGGGGGGGTTCAGCCTGGAGAAGAGAAGGCGAAAAAGGGGAGACCTCAGAGCCCCTTCCAGTGCCTAAAGGGGCTCCAGGAGAGCTGGGGAGGGACTCTGCATCAGGGAGGGGCGCGATGGGATGAGTGGGAATGGTTTTAAACTGGAAGAGGGGAGATTGAGATGAGATATGAGGAAGAAATTGTTGCCTGTGAGGGCGGTGAGCCCCTGGGGCAGGGTGCCCCGAGAAGCTGTGGCTGCCCCATCCCTGGAGGTGGTCAAGGCCAGGTTGGACGGGGCTTGGAGCAACCTGGCTGGGGGGAGGTGGCCCTGCCCAGGGCAGGGGGTGGCACCGGATGGTCTTCAAGGTCCCTTCCAACCCAAACCATTCTACCATTTTCAAATGGTGCCTGGAGAAGACGCTGAGTGTTCACCCTACTGCTTGAATATCCACAGTATAGACCAAGAATTACTCAACTGTTCTTCAAAAAGATGAAAAAATGCAAAAAAAAGGCTATGATTCCAGGACAGATCATTCGGATTAGTGTCACAAGTTGTTATCTCTAGGAGCTTACCCCTGCCCGTGGCGTACGGATTACGACACACCGTTATTATGGTTTTATGGTTGCCTCCTCTCCTCCCACACAGCCTCCTGCCTGCCGGGGCAGCTCTCCGACGGGCAGGATCCCTCCCGCACAAGGGGAAACGCTCAGCGAGGCAGGAAACAGCAGGAAGAAAAGTTTTTCGGAACAATTCGATGCTGCCCTGAACATCCTGGCTCTCTGCCACGGCGCTCTGCGTTCTCGATGCCACCTAATTTTCACAACAATCGTTTATGTTCCTCTTTTTTTCAGCCACCCCCCACCCCCGCTTTCTGGGCGTCTCAGCAAACGCCTCGAGATCTGATGCGAAGCGAGGAGCAGCACCCAGTCAGCCCGAACTGGGCTTGAAACACAGCCCGATACTGGTTTTCCAGCTGAAATGCAGTCATCTCAAACGGGGCAGATATTTAAAGGCTGCTAACCCAAAAGTTTCAATCCCGGTTGTAGAAGATATTGAAAGGAGCAGGGAAGTGAGAATTCCCCCGGGAGAATTGTGCACAAAAACTAGTACCTACGTGACCACCGCCACGAAAAGGGATTGCAATACATCCATCCTTTAAGCGTGAACAAGGGAACTAATTGAGTAAGACCAGAAGATAAGGCAGGTCAGGAACCACGTGTTGACCAGAGAGGTAAAAATACTGCCGGACCGCTCCTCCGACCAGCTCGTTCTGTAGGTTGGCGAGGTGGGGGTCCTGCGGGACAAAACAGGTTTTCAACCGCGTGATCGTGGCTCTGCGCTAAAGGAACCCGCTCGCAGCGTTTCCCAACTGCCGAGTTGCTGGGTTACCGATTCAAAATAACGCTGCTTTAGTGTGACTTCCTGCGGTTTTCGGAGGGGAAGCAAAATTCTTTGATGCGCTTATCGGAAAACTGCCACGTCACCGTATGGGGCTGAAATCTCCCTGCCACGCACATCCGACACCAGCCCGTGCCAGCAATTCGTCACAGTGAGCTGTGCCTACACTTACCGGTATCAGAAACTGGACGCGAGTGGGTTGCAGATATTCAGTAACAGAAATAACCCTCCGAAATCCAGTCTGAGGAAGGCAGTCAGGTCAAGTGGGCGCCTATCAAAGCAGTCAAACGCCCTCTCTCCCCACTCCGTTGCTTCTGACCCCTTTCTGTCCCGTTTTCCGCACCCTGCCTTCATCCTCCTCCTCTTCCAAAGCTGCCCATCAGGACCCCAAAGCCAAGGTTCCCCATCTCTAGCTTCCTCCTTAAGCTCCACTCAAACACTTATGCTTTCTGCCCTAGATCCCCTGCTCAAGAACTCCTCAAGCTTTCCTTCTCGCGTCTTTTCATTAAATTATTCCCCTCATCCACCCCCCTCCTCATCTATCCTTTTATTCTTTTTTTCTCCCTTTGAATCTGAAGTTTGCTCTTCGCGTGCCGTAAAGGCACACAAGAATCTGAGCAAGCCTCCTCTTGTCAACTCCCTTACCTTGAGCTAAACCCATGATAGCCTGCCAAGGTGTTACAAATTTAGAAGAATCCTTCCTTATTTTCAAGCTAAAATATGCTCCGTGCAGACAGAGCCTGCAGGCAACTGAGCTGCGACACATCTCAAGTCTCTTTATAAAGCACTTCCAAACTAATTTTTCAAAGGCTTAAAACTCGGCTAAATCAAGACAAGTTTTCAGCTGGACATCAGGAGGCACACTTAACCCCCAAAAATCATCATTGCAGAGTTTCAAATATTTGTTCTAGAGAGAGCGAGCACATGACTTGGAAAAAAAAAAAAAAAAAAAAAAGGAAAGAAAAAAGCAACAACTGCTTTGCTCATTAAAAGAAATACTTTCCCCTCCCTGCATTAACCTGCCTCTTGGAAATAGATGAGGCATTTAGTCAAAATTCTCATTAACCAGCCAGCAGCAGCCTATTTATCTCCTCGTAACTTCCCAATTGTTAAGCAATTGTGTGCGTTTTAGAAAGAGAGCAATAAGCAGGTTTACAGCTAGCCTGCAGCGCTGCCCGGGCGGCGTCAGGCACGGGAGCGGAAGTGTAGGGAGAGCTGTTAAAAAGAACAACTGTGTGAATATTGATCGGGCAATATCAGGAGATGCCGCTATTGGAAGTTGTTGCTCATTACAAATTTGGCGGTTTAATCGGGAGCTCGGTTTCGGGAGGCATTACTCCTTTCTGTAGGGATAACGAAGGTGACATAGCCGATCACCTGCTGTAACCGTAACATGCCATCTTAATGCCCGCTGCTAAGTTATTCTTCCACTAAAAACAGATTGGCAAATTCACCTAGGTACAAAATAAGGAATGTGGGTTTTTTTTTTCTGATATTACATACCGGGAAGACAAACAGTAAAACTGACTTAGACGAGCTAAAGCACCAAGTCACCTCGTGAGCCCAGCACCGTCTAAACCAGTTAGATGATGGTTTCCATCCGCCCCCTCGGAAGGGGACCCTCACCAGCCAAGTACCACCCCGCTTGCAGACACACCGACCCTTCCTCAACACCACTCGCGTAGCTGGGGAGCGCCCAGATGCTGGTAACGGTTTCTTACTATGATGCAGAGTCGTTCAGCTGATATTCTCTCGATCTGCTGAAGCAGGCCTGAACTCCAGCATCTCTCCATAACCGCTTAATCACGCCGGCTAGCTCGGCGGTCATCACGCCTTCCTCTGCGCTTCCAGCTAAAACAAACAACTGACGGGCATCGTCCTGCAGGAAGAGAGGAAAGAAAACAAGTTAGAATCTACACTCATTTATACCTTTAAAAATTACAGTGAGGCTTAACATCAATAATGATCCCAGAGGCTGCAGCAACTACTCTAAGGAATCATGGTCCCTTCTCTCATCCGTTCTTCTCCCCAAATGATCGAGTTATTTTTCTCCTGCAGTCAGAAACGAAAATTCTGGGCAGGAAGCTCCAGCCCGTGGGGCGAGATGCGCTGATCACGGGTGGCACGCGATGCTTCTGTAGCACCATCGCTGCAGGGATCACCGCTCCAAAGCGACAGGCAGCGTTCACATCAGAAACGCGAGATTTCAGTAACCTGGCGCAGTGTTTCAAAGGAAAGGTAGGAATGTCAATGTGACTAATGAACTAAATGATACATCACAGAATCACAGAACGGTCAGGGTTGGAAGGGACCTCTGGAGATCATCTAGTCCAACCCCCCTGCCAGAGCAGGGGCACCTCCAGCAGTGGCACAGGACGGCGTCCAGGCGGGTTTGGGATGTCTCCAGAGGGGGAGCCTCCACCACCTCTCTGGGCAGCCTGTTCCAGTGCTCCACTACCCTCAAAGTAAAGAAGTTCCTCCTCATGTTAAGATGGAACTTCCTATGTTCAAGTTTATGCCCATTACCCCTCGTCCTATCACTGGGCGCCACTGAAAAAAGACTGCTCCCATCCCCCTGGCACCCTCCCGTTAAGTATTTGTATGTATTAATAAGATCCCCCCTCAATCTTCTTTCCTCTAGACTAAAGACACCCAAGTCCCTCAGCCTTTCTCCATATGAGGGATGTAAAAACATCATAGTTTTTAAACTGGAAAAGCTCTGCTGTACTGCTGTACAGCATGGCAACAAGGAAAAATTCAGTATCAAAAGCAAGCTTTGGATGATTACAGGTTTAAAGCTTTGAGCGCTCGCCATTTGCTGCAACAGCTGTCAGAAGTAAGGGAGACTCATTTCTTAATGAAGCGTTTTCATCAGGAGATGGGACGGGCTGATCAGGATTTGAGTGTTTGCCCTAGAGCATGAAAAATCCTTCTCAGAAGTCTTCGAGCAGGACCTCACTCTTCTGCAAGTCAACAAGCAGATTTTGAAAGGGGAAAAAAAACCAGGCTGACCTACAGCTGGTGTTAGTTTCCGCAGCGATCAGCCCCGCCAACATCCTTTCGGGAGATGCGAGAGACCTTCTGCTACCCCAGCAAGTTCTCAGCTTCAGCCTGTCTCCTCCCAACATCGGGTCCTCTCCCTCGATCCCTAAACCATACTGCCCAGCACGTACCTGAGCTTGGGCAAGAGTCAAGTCAGCAGGCTAGTCCAAACGGGACCTCACTAGCCGAGCAACGGGCACCTAAATTAACTTAATCAAGGTCCCAACTGCCACGCCACAGAGGTGGACCTCAGTTATGAGTCTTTGCAGGGACAGCACTTACGGGTACGGTGCTACGCTGACAGGTTGCTGCCGTGGTTTGCTGCGAGACAACCGATTTGGTTACCCTGGGTGTTTTCCTGGGAAAGCGTGGCAAGTTGTTTGCCCTTCGGGGTGGATTGGGACATGAGAAAATTCTTGGCACTCGGCTCTCGTTCTGTTTTTGCGGAGCCAGCTAAGCCTGGGCAGCTCAACCGGGAAAGGAACTTGGATTTTAACCTCTTCCTGCTTCCAGCTGCATTAGCTGGGCTGAGATCACCGCTCGGCTTCGACAAGCACAGAGGAACGGCGGAGGGGAACACGAGGGAGGATCGGGAGCCACAGTGGAGTTACAGCCTAGGTTAACACGCAAGTGAAGATACGCCCTTCAGCCAGGATGCTTTCCGTCGTAAGTTAAAAATGTCTGCGGTTGCACCATAGAGAAACAGAGCAGGTTACTTCCCTCACCGTATATTCACTGTAAGTGTGAAGAATTAGTGCCAGATAGCAAGAGGCACGGGCCGGACAGCCACTGCCCTGTGCAGATACACACAATTCCCTTCTCCTACCCATTCTCAGGAGTCCCCGACTCCCCGTTCTGCCTGTGCTTTCCCCACCACCACGTCAAGGTCAAGACCAAGACCTCCCGACTTCAGCTTCTACCATCTTGAAGCAAAGATGAATGCTGGCAACCACCCAAGGAACGAGCAGAACTGGACGAGTGGGGAAAAGCAGGGCCTCAACCCCCCCAAACAACCCAGAGGGCAAATATGAGTAGTGAAAATTATTCCAATTTCTTTGGCTCAGCTGAAAAATTAACTGCAACAGTGTTGTGAAACACTACTGAGGACTGATGTCAAGCAATTTAAGCCAAAACTGTTAAAGAGTCAAATAGTTAAGACAAAGGTTTAGGGATTATTTATTTTTTTAGAGCATTCAAACTACTAAAGTTTCTTACCTGTAACCTCAGTAAAATACTTGACGCTTTGTACTGGTAATAACATTACAGATTACAAAAGGTCTTTCGCTGTTGCGTCTTGTAACAAACGTATTTCCACTCCGAGTGTCGTGGACTGAATTTCCAGGATTCATTAACACAATTCAGAGCACAGACTCAGACTAAGGGAAATAAGTGAAATACTTACTGCTCTGGCAACTTCCCCAAAGTCTATCTTTAGCCTTCCCATGGCTCTTATGATTGCAATGATGGACTGGATAGTATTGCTGTAGACAACCACTTTATATTGTTTGCATTCTTCTTCCGAGTAGCCATCCTCATGAATAATCCTGGAAGGAAACCAAGCCGTCATTCCCAAGCCAAACCAGTAGGGCACCACAGATTCCTTATTTCATCTCACACAAAAATGCAGTTTGCACGCCTGCACTCTCTCACTTACTTCATCTGCTTCACAATGGTGCTTTTCCCAGACTCTCCAGCACCTGAAAAGCACCAAAAAAGAAATTCCAGTTAGCAACCATATGAAATTAATAGGGAAAGCGGAACGTACTCTTTCCAGTTCCCACACAAAAGTTGATGGGGTCCGGAGTAAAGATAACTTCTTGCGCATTGCTGCTGGTAACAGAGCTCCACAGCAGCATCCCAGTCCCTCGGGAGGGATCCCTGAAGAGCACATCCACAGGTACGTCCTTCCTGGGAGAGGAACTGAGAGCACCCTCACTAAGTTCGCAGACGACACCAAGTTAGGTGGGAGAACTGATCTGCGTGAGGGTAGGATGGCTCTTCAGAGGGACCTGGACATGCTGGATCGACGGGCCGAGGCCAACGGTGTGAGGTTCAACAAAGTCAAAGTGCCGGGTCCAGCGCTTGCGTCACACCAACCCCACGAAGTGCTACAGGCGTGGGGAGGAGCGGCTGGGAAGCTGCCCGGTGGAGAAGGCCCTGGGGGTGTTGGTCGACAGCCGGCGGAACATGAGCCAGCAGTGTGCCCAGGTGGCCAAGGAGGCCAACAGCATCCTGGCCTCTATCAGGACCAGTGTGACCAGCAGGGCTGGAGGAGTGATTGTCCCCCTGTACTCGGCATTGGTGAGGTCACATCGTGTTCAATTTTGGGCCCCTCACTACAAGAAAGACATTGAGGTGCTGGAGTGTGTCCAGAGAAGGGCAACAAAGGTGAAGGATCACAAAGCTGGTGAAGGGTCTTGAGAACAAGTCTTATGAAGAGCAGCTGAGGGAACTGGGGTTGTTTAGGCTGAAGAAAAGGAGGCTGAGGGGAGACCTTATCACTCTCTACAACCACCTGAAAGGAGGGTGTAGGGAGGTGGGGGTCAGTCTCTTCTCATAAGTTACAGCTGATAGGACAAGAGGAAACGGCCTCAAGTTGCGCCAGGGGAGGTTGAGGTTACACATCAGGAAAAACTTCTACACTGAAAGGGTTATCAAAGACTGGAACAGGCTGCCCAGGGAAGTGGTTGAATCGTCATCCCTGTATGTGTTTAAAAGCCAACTAGATATGGCGCTCAGGGACATGGTTTAGAAGTGGGCCCAGTAGATATAGATAATGGTTGGACTTGATGATCTTAAAGATCTTTTCCAGCCATAACAATTCTATGACTCTATGATTTACAGATGCTGACACCCATTATGCATTCATCTGCTAAAAAAAAACAAAACAAACCACACACCACCAACCCTAGAGTTCCTGAATTTCCAAGGTACACTTCCTGATCGCTGAGAGCAGCCACCTGGGAGGGAGCTCTAAAAAACCGGGACGAGGATTTATCTCATAGACTACCTACCATCCCTCTCTTCCAGCTCAGTAACGACAGTCCCAGCTAGCCCTACAGCTAAGTGCATCAACGTCATCAGCTGGTAACCACCGGTACTGAGCCGTGTGAGATAAAAGCATCAGCCTTGACTAACCAGGTGGATGCAATCACCCATCCCAGAGTGTTTTTACAAAGAACATCTAATTCGGAAGCAATCTTGTGTGATACACAGTGGAAGGGAAGCAGAACCAGAACAGAGCTCAAAAGGACGCAGAAATGGCTCTCGCAGATCCAGGGGAAGCAGCTTAAGACATTAAAGCCCAGGAACATGTTACTATGGCAGAGCAGGAACACCATAATGGATCTTGCAAGTTCCCCTCTCCGCCCAGCACAAACATTGCTCGTAATCATTCAAATCAATGTGTTTTTTCCCCGCAGTGGAAAGACGAGGTGCGCTCCCACGATCCATGACTACAGCGCAGCGGTAAGCGCACCAATACCACTCCTGAGCTAGATATCTCACTTAAAAAGCTCCGGCAAAATACAAAGGAGAGACCTGTCTAGACTTGAAGTGGCAACTAAGGTGTCTGTGAATCACCAGCAGGAAGACCAAGGACCTGGGCTCCTGCTCCAACCCTCCCGCTGCCAACACCAGTTCCCACAGCCACGAGACAACTCGTGGATCTTCACCCTGGCACACCCATACGCATCCACCCACAGAACACGCAAGGCAAATGTTAATTGATTAACATGCTCTATTCCCGATCATTTCCCACAATATAAGGATTATTGTTCTGGGAAACCAAGGATAGAGAGTCCCGCAGGTTTAGCTCGGAAATGATGATTTCTCGTTGAAAATATCAGACCTGCCGGCAGTGGTATTTGGACATGCCTGGACTGAAACAGCCTTCCTTCAAAGGAAGGCAGAGAAACCTGGCTTGTCAAACCTCTGCAGACCTGGGGGGGCTGAGTTATCATAGAATGGTTTAGGTTGGAAGGAACCTTGAAGACCATCCAGTGCCACCCCCTGCCCTGGGCAGGGACACCTCCCCCCAGCCCAGGTTGCTCCAAGCCCCGTCCAACCTGGCCTTGACCACCTCCAGGGATGGGGCAGCCACAGCTTTTC